TCTGGTGCCACAGATCAGACACATAGTCACCTGACACAGAGCATGGCCTGGGAGGTGACCTAATGTAGCCATATACCCAGTATCCTCTGTCTTTGTATTTAATACAGGAATTCATTCCTTGATCGGCCCTACATTTTCCTTGGATGACTTGGGTGTGCTTAGAGAGCAATCAACTGCAGCAGACATAATTTTGGCTTGTCTTTATATTCTCTCTCTCTCTTTCTCTCTCTCTTTCTCTTTCTCTCCCTCTCTCCCTCCAGCTCTCTATTTCTCTTTGTTTTCCTCCTCCAGATCCCAATTGTTGGACACATAAAAGGCTGTGTCCAGCAATTGGGTCAACAGTTCCTGGGGGCCCATCTGAAGTTTCTGTAATTTGCACTAAATATCCAGGACTGATGACTGATGAAATGCTATCCCACCAGTGCCTGTCCCTCCTGGGAAGATGGATCCTAGCTTGTATGTTTACAGAACACGTCTACTAATCAGGTTTGAAAGAGCTGGATTTTCCTCTTTGCCCTGTATAACTTCTCTCACCTTTTCATAATTAGCAAATTTCTTAATGCATTTTTTTACTCCAGTGGTAAGAGCAGTCATCCTTTTAGACCTCATGTTTAGTTCATCCTCTCAGTTTATAGTCCCAGTTGGGTTCTGTTAGAGGGACAGGAACCTCTCCCGAGTCCCTTCTCTTTCTGCAATATATCTCCCAGCCTCATCTAGGATTCTTTATTTTTCACCTGAGGCACAGAAAGTAGCAAAAACAAATTAGACTTTTTGTCATGTGTCTTTATTACTTTTCTCACTGCTGAGACAAAATAGCCAGCACCTGAAGTTAAAGGAAGAAAAGTTCAATTAGCTGCATTTTTAGAGATTTCACTTCATAGCTGGCTAACTGTAAGGCAGAGTGGCACGGCAGAAGACACGGCAGAGAAGAAGCAGTTCATAGCAGGCCGAAGGCAGCAAAAGCAGGGCAGTGGCAAGCAGCAAGCAACAAGTGATGACCTCTTTCTGTCCCTTATATTCCATCGTAAGGGAAGAGCATGCACACCCAGGGCGGGTATCCCACCCAGAATTATGCCAAACCAATCAATGGACTAATTTAGTAATCACATCCCCATAATCCTACCATCATCCACGTAATCCCACGATCACACACTTTAGATCCAGCCACCTCTAAAAAGTCCCACCCATGACCACATGAGGCTTTGGAGGGGTATCTTGACACAAGCCATAACACCATGAGGGGTCAAAGGAAATGGTCAAAGTTTGAAACCCATCTATAAACCTACTAGGATCTTCTGAAAATTGGTGTAAGTGTTCTTCACATCGTTGGCTGTCTGCTCCTGAATAGGGAGCCTGGATTCAAGTAACTCCCTCTATTCCTGGGATCTCTCTTAGAGACAGGATGAATTATGAGTTGTTAGAGTAAAATCTCCACTTCATGTACACTGTGGAGCTTAAAGCTGTTTGAGAAGCATGAGGAGGGAGCTGGGGAATGGCGGGTCTCTCTGGAGATCTAGCTACTGATGAAGTTTCTGAGTTACTTGGAAAGGATGAAACTGACTTCCTGGGCTGAGGAGTCTAAGGAGGAACTCTCCCAGGTGGTTTGTTTCACTAAACATGTGGAGCAGAGCCACGTGCACCTGAGAGGTAGGGGGCCTGAGGATGAGATCCTCAGTGATACCCATCTCCTCTCTAGGGATGTCTTTAAGCACCGTACCTCTTGGGTCTTTGCAGCAACATGGTTTTTGACAAAGAACTACAAAAGCTAGACACTTGGGGCTGGGGATTTAGCTCAGCGGCATAAGCGTGAGTTCGATCCCTGGTACCGATAAAAAGGAAAAAGATTAAAAAAAAAAAAGCTAGACACTTTAGAGTTTCAGACACTTTTGTTTGTCTTTTGCAGCAAAGACCTAACTAAACAATAGCCTTGTAATTTAGACTGACATTCTGTAACCATTACGCGAGATTTCCCAGTTTATCATAAGGCCTAATGGTGGGGTTGGTAAGATGGGATAGTGTTTCCCGTGGTGCTTCACGGGGTCTATGGAGAGACAGAGAGACTAAGTCTGGATTTTTCTGAGGGCACACTGGGAACATCTCCCATAAACTCAAATTGGACTACCAGATGTCTCCAGTGAAGCAGCCAACAAAGGAACAGGAAGAGGAGATTGTGAGTATGGGAGGCAGAGCTGGACTATTTTAGTCAGTATGGAACAGACCCTATCTTTGTACTTGGGACTTTCTAGGTTTTTTTCCCTTAAAAAATGTTGATGAGCAAGTTTCTATCTCTACTGCCTTAAAAATAACTATTAAAGTCTTTTGTTATCATTATACATTCATATTCATGTTTACCACAGCACAATTCACAATAGCAAAGCTACAGAAACAGTCTGGATGCTTATCAACTGATAAACAGATTAAAATGCAGTATGTATGGAATACGACTCAATCAGAAAGAAGGATGTGCCATTTGCAACAAAATGGACAGAACTAGAAACCATCATGTTGAGTGAAATTAGCTAGACCTGGAAAGTTGAACATTGCATGTTTTCTCTTATAAGAAAAGCCTTAAAAAGCATAAATAAATAAATAATAACAGAAAACCAGAAGGTAGACTGCTGAGAATGGGGAAGGGGATAAGGGAGAAAAGTGAGTAGGGGCAACAGGACTGAAGTAGATGAAGAGATGCTAATCGTTTGTATCAACTTCCACAAATAAAAACCATCATCATCTAATATTAGCATGCGCTATTAAAAGTTGTTTTGTTTTGGTTTTTTGGTACTGGAGATCAAACTCACAACCTGGTGCTTACCAGACAAGCACTTGAACTACTGAACTAAGTCCCTGGCTCAAAACTTTTTAAAATTAAAAAACAAGAAATATGGAAGTTTCTATCATTTTGTCTCCAGTAATACACCAGCCAAGCAGGAAGCAATGGCACTCCCATGACATGGTTGGGAATTCCACCAGTGTGTGTTGACACTGGCTATGTTAAGGTTTTGTACCACCAGAGCCTAGCTTCTTATTCGCATGGTGATTGTATAAACTTCCTAGAAACTTTTAATGAATCCCTTTTCTTTAAGCCATCCAGAGTGGATTTTGTCACCTTCAACTAAGAACTGTTATATCCGGTGAAACCAAAATGGAAACCAAGAAATCGTAAGTCAAACCCAAGAGCACAATGTAAAGAAATTCCAGTCAAAAAGCAGTCAATTTTAAACTGTGATGTTAGGGTCAGGATAATGATCCTGAGTGTACTTACTGGAAGGGTGCACCAGGTCAGGTGGATAGAATTTTTTTGACCTGAAATGTATTTTGTATGAATGTATATGAATGCACATTTATATACTCATTGTGTACATTTTAGATTAATAAAAACATTTTTTGAAAAACTGACATTATTGAGCTGTGTGGGGTGGCTCACACCTGTAATCCCAGCATTTGGAAGGCTGAGGCAGGAGGATTGTTGCAAATTTGAGAGTGGCTGGCTACAATGTGAGCTCGACTAGCCTGAACCGCATGGTGAGACCCTGTCTCAAAAAGACAAAACAACAACGACAGTGATGACAACAACAAAACAAAACAAAAAAACCCTTGACATTATTGAAGAGGAATGGAAGGTGGAGAGAAAAGGTTCAGGGTAACAGGTCTCTAAAATTTTCATTGAGGCTGGTCATCATGGTGCACCTCTGTAATTCCAGGAATCTGGGAGGCTGAGGCAAAAGGATTGCAAGTTCTAGCCCAGCTGAGTGACCTACTGAGAAAATGTCTCTATTTAAAGGGGGGCAGGGTTGGAACTCAGTGCAAAGGTCTTGGGTTCAATACCCAGTACTGGAAAAGATCTTTTTCCTTGTAATTAAATAAGACTGAAGATGAAGCTGGGGATTTAGCTCAGCGGCATAAGTGCCTGCCTTGCAAGCAGGCAGTCGTAAATTCGATCCTTGGTACCAATAAAAATGAAAAAGACAAAAAAAAAAAAAAAAAGATTGAAGATTAAGGTTGAGACAGAGAAGAGACATAAGAAGCAGTGCAATAGCCCAGTCCTAGGCATACTCTGTGTAAGAGAATGCTGCATGCTCTCTTGAGGTCAGATTTTGCCTCATAGGGTTTGCCCCATTCCCGTTCTTGGAAGTTCTACTTAGAAGCCTACATTTTATAAGTTTCCCTGCTGGAGACTAGGAAATAGGAGAAAGAAATTCTTGTTTCTGGCCCTAGCCACTGCAGGTGACCACAAGGGATCTCATGTTGATTGTGCGCTCCAGCACCAACGTAACTAAATACAGGCTTATAAATGCCAGCCCAGGAGTGTTGCTAGCTCCTGCTGAGTGAAATTCCCTTCTCCCTTTTTCTTATCCAACCTAAGATCTTCATTTCCAATTTCTAGCATTAGATTTTCCTGTGCTTAAAATACTTAGGATGGGTGCCTTTCCCAGCAAGAAAAGATTCACACATAATCAACTAGTCTGACAGAAACTAATCAAAGCCTATCATTCATCAACACTCTGAGAATGGCTGGTGAAGCAAATCCAGTCTCAGCTGATCTATTTGGTGCTCTCCTTGGACTGGGTCCTGTCCATATCCCCCACACCTGGCCCACCTTCCACCCAAACTCCTACAACCATCATCTGTTGCATCAACTATCGGAGTCCCTACAAATCTGCAGTGCCACCTGTGTGACTCCCATCTAAACTCCCACAGCAACCACCCTCCACCTCTGCAAGTCTCACAATCAACCCAGGAATCCCAGAAGGGCAGGTGTGGGCAGTGTTAACCTTGGCATTGGGCAGGTGCTTAAAGAATGTACGGGTGGCTGGGGCAGAAGTTCCTAGGCAGAAAATGAGCTGCTCTGCAAGTGAAGTTTAAAAGCCCAGGTGGGGTCCTCTTTCCACACAGTGTCTCCAGAAGTCAAGAGCACGCAAATGTGTGCGGAATCGGGATGAGACATGGGCTGAGGTCTGTCCCGGGGAGGACCAGGCCTAGAGACAAGAGGAAGACTGGCGAAGAGGGCAGGTAGCTTTAATGAGCCAGAGTGCCCGCTCCTCTACAGTGACCCTCCCTCTCCAGTCTTCCCCATTAGTTCTGGACAGGTCCAGCCTGCCCAAGGCCCTGGTTCTCTTCAGCTGGACGTGTTAATCCTTCTGTCCCCGAAGTCGCTCCAGCCTCCTCCGAAGGTCTGGGGGCACCTTGGCCCCCGCTGCCAGCAACTCTCTCAGTCTCTGTTTGGGAGTCTTGGTGAGCAGGAAATTGCAGGGGGTCGGACCCTCTTCAAAGGTGACCCAGCAGGTCCGTGTCACTGAATGGTACCCTTCAGCACTGGCAGTCACCATATAGTCCCCTGGGGTCAGCAGCCGCCAGTAATCCCCACCCCATGCTGTGGAGAAAGAAGGGCAAAGTTAGGACCAGTCATCCTCTGCTTCAGACTCATCCAAAAGCCCTCAGTCTCTCCCACCCCTCCACCACACACACCCGTGGTGACATCATGGTTAATCCCATCCACAGCGATGACAGCATCGGCAATCCCCTCCTCCGTGTCCTTGTCCCGCACAACTCCCGAAATGCCCATGCGCACCTGTGTGGGAAAAAGGTATCCACTCTTTACCCTCTGCTTGAGAATGTGACTTTCAATTAACTTTCTAGTTATAGTCCCTGAAAAACCTGTTAAAGTGCTGTTTCTACTGTTTCTAGGTGACAAGACTTCTAGCAAAACCCTCCCCTGACTGCTAAATTACATCTGGACTGGTAGGAAGAGATATTTTCTCCAATTCAGTGACAACTGTCATTGGGTTTGTTTTTTTGGAAAGCCAGTTTTTCTTATGTACTGGACACTGAATTCAGGGAGTTCTGAGCTACCTCTGCAGTCCATGTTTTGTTTTATTTTACTGTTTATTTATTTGTGACAGGGTCTCAGTTGTGCAGGCTGGCCTTAAACAATCTTTCTGCTCAGCCTCCTGAGGAGCATGAACCACCATAGCTGGCATTTTTTTTTTCTTGGCACTGGGCTGAATCTAGGGCCTTGCATATGGAAAAAGCTTGGCAACTGAGCCCTCTCCTCAAAGGAAGCTATTCTTACGGACTCATCCCAGAGACACAAGTTCCTACGGAACATAACAGCTCTGTGCTGAGGCACTTCCTGCATCTGTCTACTGCCTTTTCTGAGACAAGCTTTCCTGCAAATAGACCTGAGACAATTCTAGGGACCACTCCAACTGCCCTGGTGTGTGCCGTAAGTTAACATGTGACACCACCCTGCTGGCAAACCACTTTTGGTCTTAAATCCTCCCGGGATACTCTGATGCCAGATATGGTGCACAGCATCTTGGGAACCTGGTATCAGCTGGATCAGTGAATCATACCAGATGGCAGCAGCCTACATGTGGAGCAGCCTGGCCAGGAGTGACTCCGGCAGGCTGAGGGGACTGAAGCGGACCTGTTCCAGGTACGTGAGGAGGGCATCTTTGTTGTTCTCCCACTCCTGGGGCAGCTCACTCTCATGAGGGAATTTGTCACAGGACAGCTCCACAGTGACCTCAAAGCAGTTGGTGTGTAGATAACTGAAGTCATTCATGCCTGTGGGGACCACAGACACCGGAGCTCCAGAAGGCAGGATGGGTGTCCTGCCCTCCTGGAGCCCTGCCCTGAGAAACACTCAAGGCTGGGAACTGCCGTGAGCTCTGCATGCAACAGCAGCCTGCCTAACACAGCAGTTTCTGGGGACCGGGCCAGCTGCACCCCCAGGACATACTCCCAGGGACTGTGTGCCAGTCAGCCCCGTTGATAATGTTGCCATGCAAGGTGAAGTCCTGGCTGTGGCAGGGCCGGCGATCTGTGTCCTGCATCACCCGATTAGTGCCTGCGTAGACAGTGCTGAGCCACCGAAAGACGGCGTCATCTGGCGTAGGCGTGAGTTCACGGCCCGCCCATGGGGTCCGAGTCATGTCGTATGGATAGGACACCACCAGCTCACCCCCGTGAAGGTTGGCACTCAGCACAAAGGGGATCCGCTTCATCCAGTTGATCACTGCCCGTGTTTCAGGAGCCACCTGGACAGGGAAGGGTCAGCAGAGGTGGACCAGAGACGGGGTCCTCTCTGCCCCCATGCTCCTTCACTGCCCTCAGGATACTCACAGTTGCATTGGGCAGGGTGTAGTAAGTGGGCAGTGGCAGGTGATGGTTGGGGACAGTATGTGGCACTAGCCCATCATCCTCTGCATCCCACAGTGGTGTATTGAGGTCAGCAAAATTGTGGTTAAGGTCAATGCTTTGATAGGTCCAGCGACCCTCTGCCCAGCCCACCAGCTCTGAGCCCTGCCAGGAAAAGGGTCTGTTCAAGTCAAGTGGCTCTAGACATTGGGGCAGAAGTTGCAGGCTACCCCTCATGCCAAGTACCTACCCGGCGGTAGGCAATCTCATAGCCATCAGGGTTCATGGAGGGCAATAGGTGGATGCGCATCTCACTGAGCAGCCGGGTCACTCGGGGGTCGCCTCGCAGGTACTCCCGGCACAAGAACTGCATCAGGAGCAGAACCAACTCACGCCCCAGGGCCTCATTCCCATGCATGCCAGCCACGTAACGAACCTCAGGCTCCCCTGGGAACACACAGTGTTCACAGATAGCTCACATCCGTGGCCTGCCCAGTGCCCACCTCTCTCCATGCCATCTGCCAGTACCAAGTTCGTGCTCTCCAGGATGGTCTGACATCTCCATCACATACAGCTTTAGGCCCTGGTAGCTCTTTCCGATGCTGTAGATCCGGGTAATGTTGGGGCACTGCTCATTCACCTGCTTCATCAGCTGGTGGGTGGCACAAAAAGGGGCAAGAGGATCACACCAGGGGTCAGATCATATGTGGCTACTGAAGGACTCACAAAGTGTGAGGTGACTCACAGATGCAGGGATCTTGGCATCATCCAAGAGGGTAGGAGCAAGACCAGAAGGAGGCAGCAGCACAGGCAAGGAACGTAACAAGAGCGACGAGGCAGATCTTAGGCGTCACCAGGAGAGGAGACAAGAGACAGAAGTAGGGGACACCCGTGTAGGTACACCCACTTTCCTGGGCCACAGGGGTTATGTCTGACCTTCCTCATGGCCTTGTAATCGTGATGCCGGAAGTCCAGAGGGTCAGAGGACCCCAGTGCGTGAGCCTCAGGGAACAGGTCATTAGTGTCTAGGGGAGAGCGAGTTTGTAGTAAAGAGTGAGTTCACAGTGGAGGATGCACCCCAAATCCTGGCCCTGCATGTCCAACCTTTGCCTGCTGCCTACCTGAGATGGGGCAGCCCAGGATCTCTGCTCGGAGGCAACACGAGCCTCCCTCTAGCCAGGTCTGTGGTAGTAGACGAATGAAGCGGGCCACCTGGGGCTCAGACAGGAGATTCAGCACGGGAGTTTCTGGGTCAGAGTTGGCAGGAAATACCTGGGGGGCATCAAGTTCTTTGCTGAGGCTACCTGGAGCCCAGTCTGGCTCAGGTTCCAGGGCAGGAACTCAGGTTAGTTCAGGGCTAACCCTGCCTGGAGGCTCAGCTAGATCTGTATTCTGCACGAAACACAGGCTCCTTGCGCACGGCCTCTGCCCATGGGTGGCCCTAGGCAGCTATGTTTTCTGGCTTGGTCACAGCTCATTGGACCAACATAGTCAGGTGATTCGGAAACAGCCTATTGTAAAACTGGCCAGGACCCTTTGTAGCCCAGTGTTAGGGGTGAGATGGAGAGGCCAAAACTGTAAGTGACTCAAGCCAGAGATCCATGGCCAGCAGGGGTGTTCCAGGGGCAGTGTTCACCCCATATTCTGGTTATTCTTATCCCCAGAGGAACCCCAGACAGACTAAGCTCTCTGGTGCCCACTCCCAGCACAGAGGGGCCCAGACACGATGGGACCACAGTGGGACTCACTTACCGCATCCATCCCACTGCTGAGATTTTGACTCCCCCACCAGATCTGACTGTCATTACTGAACTGGACCTTGTATGATGTGACCCAGTCATACCTAGCAGAAAAGGTGAGATCATCAGTGCCCCCCCGCCGAGTCCCATTGCTGCCCTCCTGTTTCCACCCACAGCTTCTGCCCAAGGGCCCTCCTGCCTCACCTCCAGATAGAGTTCCTGCCCTGTGTGACAATGCCTGAGAAGCGGGTGGGTTTCCTAGCGTCCACTCGGAACCATGGCTCAGTGTCCCGCTGCTCGGCACACCAGGCCCCATCATACAGATCACCATCCTCCAGGCCTGACTGCGGGCACAGGACACAGCAGTTGGTCCGAGGCAGGTAAAGAGAGGTGGCTAGGATAGGGGACAAGTTCCCAGGGATTCCTTTGCCTACCACTGAGGGCAGGAGTTGACTACCTGGATGTTGAGCCGTCCTCGGTGTGGTCCCAGACCAAAAGACTGGCTGCTGGAAGCCTCGAGCTGGCTATCTGAAACTCGGAGGGACTCCAGGCCCAAAGGGGGACAGCCTGAGGTGGGGACCAAGCAGGTGAGACAGGACCAGAGAGAGCAGGCAAGAAACTGAGCCTGGGCTTGTGAGTACCAGGCAGGCAGGGGGTATGCGTAGGCCCTGGAGAAAAAGAGCTACATGGCTAAATGCTAAGGAACTGCAAGCCCAGGTGGGGCCCTGCAGAGGGAGTACCTGGCTCCTGTTTCTCAAGGAGGTTGAGCATCCTGGCTGGGCTGGTGGTCACCAAAGGCTTGGCAGTCACTGGGGAACTTGGACTTGTTGGTTTCTTTCGCTTCTTCAGAATAACCTTTTTCTTCCGGACGACTCGAATCCAGGTGTGCTGTTTCACAGTCCCTAGGGACAGCATCAAGACAGACGCATTCCATGAAACCCCAGATGGAAAGGTCTGCCCGGCAGGGAGACATGCGAGTATCAAAGGGCCTTGGCTTTTGGCATCAAAAAGCCTCCAATCTGCCTCTCCTCCCATTTCCTTGGTACCTTACGTAGATGGCCAGCTGCGCCGCAGATCCGCGGGATCATTCTCAAGAGACAAATTGGTTCCCTGCCCTACAAAACCACTCACCACCTGTCTGTACCACCTCCCAAAAGCCTCACTGAGCTGACTAAATCTCATGCCCAGACCTTCTGCGCTGCCTGCATGGTAGCATCTGCTTCTGAGCTGAGATCTCCTGTCCTCAAATCCATGTTTGTTCTGGCCACTGAGGCTTTCTGGGTGGGGCTGCTCACTCACCCTCCCACAAAGAGCCTTGCATAAGGCAGTGTGGCCAGATCCCTTCACACCCACGCTCCATCGATGCTGCCAGAACATGATGCACATTTTGGTGTCCGGTGCCCCTGTGCCTTTGCACATACTGTTCCCTTCCTGGTTCCCGTGTCTGGTCAGACACTCACTCTTCAGGATGAGGTCCACTAGCCTCCCTAGAAGCCCCTGACTGCCATCCCCTTGCCTTTCTTCACCAGTCTCCCATATGCGGGAAAGGGCCAGTCAGATAGCCAACCTCCCGGCTCTAGAAACCATGCTCCTCCTATTGGCATCCTCAGCAGAGCCTCTCCCTCCCTTTTGTTCTCTCTCTCCAGCCCTTCCCCTGAAAGTCTCTACACAGGCTCGCTCTGCGCCCCTTCCTCTGGGTGTTTTTGTACCGCTTTCTCTCCTACTGCAGGCTCTGGCCTCAGTTTCTTCATCTGTGAGAAGGGAAGGTTTGGGGCTGAGGAGCCCGCATCCCACTGGCGCCTGTCCACACACTGCTGACTGGGTCCAGCCGGGAACTGGGGCTGCTGTGTCAGCAACTATTGCGCAGCCGATGCGTTTGTGCGTGTGTGTGTTTGTGCGTGTGTGTGTGTGCCCGAGTCTGTGAGTCTGTGAGTCTGTGTGCTGGGCAGGGGGCGCCGCGGAACTCACCGTTCGCCTTCGCGGGCTGCAGTGCAGGGCTGCTACGCGGGGCCGGAGTCGAGCCCGGCGCTCCGGTGGTCGCGGGCCGCGCCAGCTCCGGCGCCGAGGCCCCCGGCGCCCCCAGGCCCACACCGACGGCAGGCGCGAAGGCGGCCAGGGCGAGCAGCGGACCCCACATGGCGGGCGCAGGAGGCGGAGAGGCGCGGGCGGCGGCGCGAGGTGCGTTCGCCTCTTCCTGCAGGCCGCTCCGAGCCCCCCGCCCCTTCCTGCCCGCCCCACGCCCCTCGGAGCCTGCGGCCCGCCCACGGCCCGAGCGCCACCTCGAACCTCGGGGCTGGGGGAGGCGGGCGCTCGCGCGCCGTGCGGGCCCGGGGCGCCGTGCGGGGCTCCCCGGGGTGCGCGCGGGGTCTCCGGCCCCTTCCTCTGGCCTCGGGGCCGGCCGGCCGGGCTCCCACGCGCCCTTCACAGCGGGGCGTCTGCGGGTACCGTGCGGGACGCCAGGCGCCTTACACGGGGTCCTCCAACCAGACTTCATTTCACACGCAGGTAAACTGAGGCCTGCAGCGGCTTACTGATTTGGCCACAGCAGAAAAACAGCTGTGGGAGAGGAAACTACAACCCGAGGAGGAGATCCATCCAGAGCCAGGGCGGACGAGACAGCAGGGAGCGAGGAGTGGGAAACTGAGGCACCGAAGAGGGCGCGGTGCGGGGGTGGAATCCGTGGAAAAGGACTTCTTGGGAAAGACAACCCGAGGGGCCCAGCCGGAGGCGGCGGGTCCCACCACTGCCCCACACCCACCCCCAGTCCCGCCTCTCCTCTCCTCTCCTCTCCTCTGCTTCCCTCCCCGACTCTCTCGCTCGCCAGGCTGCCACGTTCCGGGCTTACATAACCCAAGAAGAAAAGCCAGAGCCGATACCCGGCGGGCTGAAGCTAGGGATGGAGGGGCCTAGGCTTGCGTGGGGGCTCTGCCCTCCTCCCGCCATCGTTCTCCCCTTCCTGTATCCCTCTCATCAGGGTCTACAGCCTTGGGTGTCTATTCTCTCCTTCGTTGGGGGTTTCAGATCACTTCCATCCTCCTCGTGGGTGCCCTTTTGAGTCCCCTTTGAGTTCCGAACGTCAGGATGGCCTTCCATGAAGGAAAAAGACAAAACCTTCCACAGTGCGTCTTTGGCCAGTGCTTCCCCTTTGCTGCCATTCCCACTAGAAGCAATGTCCAGAAGTAGGTGAGAATCTTCTGGAGTGTCCAGGTCCTTGAGCATGTGGGGTGGGAGTCAGGGGCATTATCTACATAAATGCTTTCCATTTCCCAGAGTCTGCATCATTGTGGTGGTCCAAGCTCACACGATTCCTGGAAAGGAACACTGTACTGCACTCCTGAAACACACTCACCCCTGGTTCCGAAGAACCCAGAGGGGTGAGTCCTGGAGCTCTGGACACTTTTGGTCAACCCAGTGTGCACATGAGATAGAGGGCTAGAAAGGCCCTGGGAGACTAAGCAGGGCTGTTGAGAGACCAGGTCCCTTCCTAGACAGCACTCCCAGAGCACAGGGAGCCCTGAGCAAATGGCACCAGGAGATGGCAGGAGTCAGGCTGAGCTTCCCTGCTTCCTAAGACGGGAAGCCAGGTCCAAACAGCTATCCAGGACTGCCTAGTTTCCAGCATTGTCTAGTCTGGCCACTTCCCTGTCTCTAGCCTCCAGCCCTGTTCAAGTTTCCCAGAGAGTGTGAGGTGAAGGAAGGGAGGACACAAACAACAGGATATCTTGGGCTCTTGAGACTTCCACCCCCTGCCACCAAGCCCTGCTCCATACAGCAGTCACATGGAGTCAGTTCCTCCCTGTTAGATCCCCAGCAGGCTCACCAGTACCAAGTACTTTTTCTACCTGTGCCTTTCCCACCCACATCCACCTCACCTATTCCTCTGGCTCCTGTCCTTCCAGTCACACTGTTATTCGAGCTGCAGTGCACAGCCCTTGCACAGTCCAGATGCAAAGGACCCCTTTCCCTTTTCCTTGACGCTACTGTGAATCTGTTCACCAGCCCGCTCTCACTCTGCACAGTGTACTTTTTTTTCCCCCTTCAATAAATGCCCATCCCTCTCTCTTTTCCGGAGGTCTTGTCCACTTCTTTATCAGGACACTTGGAAAGAATTCCTCCAGGCCCCACTATTTGGTAACATTTTCTAGGCAGGTCCAGCTGAGAAATAAGACTCTTCTCTTTCCCATTTTTGGTCAGTCATAGTGTTATAGACAGCTAAGTTAGGTAGAAATAAATAGGCAGTCCGACAGGGGTAAGCCCTCAAAAGAGTCAATACAAAAGATGAAAACACTATGGCTATTTCTGGAGCAGTATCTGTTGGAGGCCAGGACTCAAGATAAAGACAAAATGATCAGGGCAACATGCTTCTCCAGTAAGACAAGTGGTAACAACTGGTCCAGTGAAGTCTAGATAGGCATCAGTCACCTCAGTGAGTGACCAAGACCCCTGGACTCATCCCTTCCTGAAAAGTTCTTTGTTCTTTCCGTGTACTCTTGCTATGTGACCTGCTTCCCCATTAGATCAATATTATCTAAGCCATTACGCTTGTAATCTTATGGGTTGATCATAGTTTTGACCCATGTACCTACCTCATGATTTTGCTCTATAAAATTTCCTTTGGAAAAAAGAAATTTCCTTTGAGTAGTAGCAACCTGCTCAAGTCCCCTCATGTCTCTCTCAAGAGCTGTCTTGAAATTTCCTACTCTTAACCTCTACTGCTCCTTAGAATTCATTCTTCAATTTGGGGGAATGCAAACTTGGCATTTTGGACATCTGGCAGGTTGGACATTTATTCCTCCTATATAATCTGAAGGTCCTATGTCAGTGGTGGGCATGAATTACACTCGGATTTCTCACGCTAACCTGGTTGTGAAATGGGTTGTTCGAGGTTCCACTGGGCGCAGGAAAGCTTCTACACAACATGCAGTTACTGTATGTGTGACCCAAAGTTTACTATGTCTCTTTTGCTCCCACATTTTCTTTTTTCCCAGTTCAGCTTTCTCAGTCTTGGAAGGGGCTATCAATAACTCGGTCTCCTTCTTGGGTAGCCACCCAGCCCATCTTGCCTGGTTAAGTGCTCAAAAACCCATCTGGGCTTTTTCCCTAGGTGCTCCTTTATCACCAGCTATGATTAGTGATTTCAGGGTCCCATTTCCTAAAACCTCAGGAAGCCTTTTCCAACCTTCCCGGAGACACCAGGAAATCTCACTCTTAGGGACAAGGGTCTCTGCTTTCAGGGAATACAAGCCTCTTTTTCCCTTTCGAAGTCTGGTTCAATTGCCTTCCTATTTCTTCTTAACAGGAGTCTGGGTGATTTAGAAATGTGCTGAGTGCCTGAGTAGAACAAAGGGAACAGAGTCCACCCACGAGCTGCGGTGAATACAGGGAAGCAGAGCTGGAGTATCTTAGTCAACACATAACAGCTCATACCTTTGTACTCAAGTCTTTTTGTTTACTTGTTTGCTTGCTTGCTTATTTGTTTGTTTGGGTTTTTTTGTTTGTTTGGTTGGTTTGCTTTTTTAGTCAGGAGTTCACTTTGTAGCCCAGGCTGGCCTCGAACCCTCAGCCTCCCAAGTGCTGGAATTATAAGCATGTGCTACCATGCCCAGCAGCTCCAAGCCTTTTTTCTTAACCATGGTGAGAAAATGAGCTTCTGCTTCTACTGCCTTAAAAAGAAAATTACCAAAGTCTCTTATTAACGGGATAAATGGGAGGGTACTGTTTCTCAAATAGTTACATAGAGAGAGTAGAGGCCCCATCCTGGTGTCTAAGAAGTCATAATAGGCCACAGGCTATGAAGCCATTTAAGGGAGGGAAAATGACAGTGGTGCCACCAGAGATGCCTGGTAGGACAATTGAAGTTTCGTGGGGGACACCCAGAGTTCAGCACATCTCCATCCTGCTGTGGAGATGCCCTCAGAAGAATCCCAGACCTAGTCTTCTCTCTCCAGAAGCCACATGAAGTGCCGTGAGAAGCATCCTGCAGACCCCACTGACCTCGTCCTTAGAAACTGGAGACAATTTCTGATAATCCAAGGGTGGAAAGGAACTTCCCTTCTATTGCAATAATGTTTGCCTCCAGGATGAACGAGGCAATTGTGAGAGGTGGGTACAGAAAGGCAATCCAAATATGTAAATTACAGTACTATTCTTCAGCTAGATCTTTTCTGTAGAAGGCAAGGAAAGAGGCCTGAAATTCCTTATATTCAGGCATTTATGGCTATTTCTCAGAAGCTGTCCCACTGCAAAGGCCCAAGGGACCCCTGAGGAAGACCTCCATATCATGGATCATCCCTTGCTCACACCCATCTCTCCAGATGATACAGGTATTCCAAACATGTTTGATGAAAGAAACCACCCAGGCAGGTTTCCTCAGCCTCCTCCTTAGAACCCTCAGGCCAGTCCCACCCTCTCCAAGTGACTCAGACAGTCCCTTAGAAGCTAGCTCCACAGAGAGACCCAGGACTTCTCAGTACCTCCTCATGCTTCTCCAACAGCTCTAAGCTCCCACAGCATTTTTGGGTTTTAGAGTCTTGGGGTCTTCTTCTGGAGGGAGGTTTCTCAAATGTGGCCTTCTGTGGCCTTGCCAGTCCCCTTGTAATATTCCCTTTCTCCCTGTAGTAAACCTTAAGAAGAATATCAGATGGGCCAAAATTCTGTATCATTAATGAGGCTATAATTCCAACCCACCCTCTAGTAGCAGATTCATATGCAAAACCTGTCCGAAATTCTAGATGACACAAATTGGTTCTGAGTATTGGGCCTCTACAATGTTTCTTTTCTATTTTTTGGCATCCAGACTGTTAGTTTGTTTGCCTGTGATGGGAAAATCACACCTCAAAGGTATAACCATATACTTGGACAAATTTTCCCATAGGGCTTTAGAGATAACTTCTATGTTTTTGCTTGAGCACTGGGAATGGATTTAAGGAGCCTAGAGCTTCTACAGGGAACCATCCTTTATATGTAGATGATATTCTAATCTACAGCTCAACTTGGGAGCTATCCAACCATAATACTATTCAAACTCCCAGTTTTCTAGCTAAAAAGGGATATAGAGTCTCAAAGGAAAAGGTTCAGATATCCCTTAAAAGAGTCTAATGCTTGGCGCACATTTTTTTTTTTTTTTTTTTTTTTTTTTTGGTACCAAGGATTGAACTCACGACCTTGTGCTTGCCAGGCAGGTGTTTATGCCACTGAGCTAAATCCCCAGCCCTGGCACATATCCTTGTACCCAGAGAAAGACAACTATTTAGGGACTGTGTCTAGGCTATCCATGATATTGGAAACCCTGCCACCAAGCAAGAGCTGCCATCTTTCCTGCAAATGGCCAGCTTCTGCGGAACCTGGATAACTAATTTTGGACTAATGGCAAAGCCTATATATGAGGCTGTCAAAGGTCCTGAGTCTGAGGCCTTACACGGTACAGAAGTGACTGACAATATCTTTCAGGGAAAACATCCCTCAGGCTCCAGCACTAGGAATATCTGATTCAAGAAAATCCTTCTTCCACTGTGTAGCAGAAAAGAGAAATTGTATTAGTTATCATTCAGATTATGAGACAGTGCTAACAGGGCACCTGTTTTGGGTGTCTGGACCCAAAAGCTGGAACAGAAATCCTGCCCAGTGGCATACTTCAAAAAAATTAAATGGAGTGGCTGCTTGATGATGACCCTGCCTGAGAGCATTAGGAGTACAGCTATGCTAACAGAAGAAGCTACAAGACTAACTTTGGGATAAAAACCAAGAGTCCAGACTCTCCCTCAATTAAAGGATATTCCTGAGACAAAAGTTTACTTCTGAGTGATGGGAACAGTTCACCAAGTCAGGCCATGGATTTAGACAACACTGAGGTTACCATAACAATTTGTACTACTCTTAATCCTGCCTCACTGATACATGCAGGCTTGGAGGTCAATCACTCTTGTGATTAGGTGATTTCCCAGACATAGGCAAGCAGGAAGAACACCAGTGACCTCCTTTTCCAAGATTCTGAGGAGGTGTGGTTAACTGGTAAAGGTAGCTTAGTCCCAGAAAACATCAAAAGGCAAGTTACACAGTTGTCAGTGCACAACAGGTCACTGAGGTCAAAATCCTTCCCCCAGAAACTGCCACTCAAAAAGAAAATCTCATAGCTCTTACTCAGGCAGTGGTATTAGGAAAAGGTAAAAGGCTAAATATTTACGCAGATTCCAAACATATTCCTTTCTGGTGCTACATGCCCATGAAGGAATATGGGAAAATGGAACTTGCTTACCAATAATCAAGCACCTATAAGGAAGGCATCAGCAAGAAATTCTACAGCTTTTAGAGGCAGCCTTCCAGGCAAGTCACTGTCATTCATTTCTCCTTGGAAAATTGAAAGGCTGATAGGTAAAAAGAGCAGCCTTGCAGCCCCTCAAAACCCTTGCCTTATTTTCAGTTCTTGAGGAATCATTGAAACCAGCCTACCCCAGGAAGATAAACAGGCCTTAGGACAAGGAGGAGCTAAAAGGGGCTTCGGTGGTATTTGGGAACAAACTAGTCCTTTTTCAAGGACACAATGGAAAACTATAAATGCCCTTTGTTGTGGTTAGGGGTTGTGTAGAGAACAAATTAGGACATGGATTTTATAATATTTTTATAATGGTCACTGTCGATGTCGCTCCTGGCCGGCAGGAAGGACACACGACAAAGTCTGGCAGTGGACAACCTTTTCTTTTATTTTCCTTCTCCGTACAGCCTGCCCTGGGATCGCTCCCAGCCGAAGCCTCCTTTGGTCCGCTCCCCGCGGCTCCTTCTGGGCTTCTACTTCCGGGCTTCTTCTTCCCCCCCAGGGGTGGCACCAGTATATATACGGATACAGTGTCCAATCATGTTAAAGTAAGCAAGGCAAGCTGATTGGCTAACATCATCAGTTGCCAGGCAGACTATATTGTTGAGCGGGTTGCTTACGCGGTAAGCAGGAAACTAACGTGCTCGATGGGAGGGGTAATCTACCTCAGGCTTTACTCTTTACTACAGGCCTCACGTCCGCCAAGTGAGGCGACCGGGCTCGGGGCTGCGGCTCCCAACATCTCCCCCTTTT